AAGAGGAAGGGCAAAAGGGAGGGGTGGGGAGGAGGAGGAGGAAAGGAAAAAGGGGAGGATGGGATAGGGAAGGGGGGATTGGGGGGTAATTAGGTTCGGTCTGAGGAAGGAGATAGACAGGTCTAATTCCTCAGACCAAGAGCCTCTTCACCACGCCAAGGAGCCCCCCTTGAAGAGGATGCCTGAACTAGAATGGCTTGAGATTCCCAACCTATCATGAATGCCGAGACCAACCTATATCTAATTTAGTGTTTGCTATGCATGTTGAATATGAATGCTCCCTGCTTTCATTCCCTGGAAGTTGGACCACATATTCAAGCTGGGGCTTATCACTGTATATTATTTCTTTGTGGATACATTTGGTTAGGGTCAAGTTAGTTAGACAGTAATAGGAACTACCCTGCTACCTAGGTTGCTGGCAAAGATCTAGACTAATAGTTCCAAGCAATGTAGGTTTTCTATAAGAGTAGTCTACCCACTGGAAGTGTTGTCCTATCGTAGATGGTCCCTTGATGCATGTGAACAATTTGATGCTAGGTGTTGGAGCTCCCCTGCCTTTAGATCAAACTTAATTACCTCTCACTCCTTAGGCATTATATGACCCAACTGGGTTTAGCACTTCTATGAATATTAAAACAGGAACCCCATTCCCCAGGCACTGTATGAACCCTACTGGCTTGGCGTATCCTCATGAATAATAGTGTACTGGGTGTCTGGACTGAGGTATGTTTAAGAGCGTTGTTTTTCACTGGTTTGGACAGATTATATAACCATAGGAGTAGTGAGGGAAGCTTCATAAAATAGCTGCATACACCAGGACATGATCCATTCCATTATAACCCATGATTTTTGCAAGAACATTACTGAAGCATATGACTAATAAATGACGCATGTGGTACTCTGAGAGGAAGATGATGTGCATGAGCTTGGTTGTATAAAGGGCTGTCTTATCATAGAGCTTTATTCATACGTTTTCTGTGTCTTTTCTAAATGCCAATTTGTTATAGCTGTATTTTTGACCAGGAGAAAGCTTGATAACACTTACCGATAGCACATCTTGTTTTGAGTTCATTCTTTTGGCCTGAGTGATCTGGTGCCACTGTGTCTCAAGATGACCTTGACGAATTATTTTTGTAAATAGCTCCTTCTCCCACCTTCATAAAAGATGATGTCACAAGTATGTTTACTTACCTCTACCATATTCCTAGTAGCCATTTCCCTTCAGTGAAGGTGTCTAGATGTCAGTGAAGGGCTCCTGACTCAAGAGCTGAGAGCTACACTTCCCTTCCTTGGATCAAACATGATTGCCTCCCATTCACATGTCACTGGATAATCCTTTCATTTTTAATGCTTTCTGTAATTATAATAATGATAACTTTTGTTGCTCAAAATTTGAATTGGACAGTAATAAACATCCATGATGGCAATCATTTTCCCATCACCTCAAACTGCTCATTGTCACTACAGATGGCAATTTGAGCATGTAAATGGGGTGAAGGGTCCTTGATTCAAAGAATTGGAGCTACTACTCCCTTGGATCAAACCTGATTACCTTCCATTACTCAGGCACTGTATGACACCCGTGGGCTTAGTGCTTTTTCATGAATATACGTACTGTAATGAAAATGCTAAGCTCTTCAGAACTCTTGTGACTTGACCTGATCTTGACTGTCTCCTCATCTTCCAATGCCCAGATCTGACTAATGACTTTCTCTCCCTTCCCCACCCCCTTTTCCTGCTCGCTTGCAATTTGATGCTGGCCTGGGATGGACTGCAAGTTTTTATTGTTCTAATTTGTGGGTTGTTAAGTGAATAATTAAAAATTTGTGCATGCTTTTCAAATATCTACATTAACTTATAATAATGCATTGTATCTTCTGAATTTATACATGTATTTGGAATGTATTCTGCCATAGTGTTCCTAAATGTATTGTGTGTTGTACGACAATATTCCAGCCTAGATAGAACAAGTGACCTGATGACACTCTTCAGGTCACTTGTTCTATCTAGGCTGGAATATTGCTGCACACTAACAGCACCTTTCAAGGCAGGTGAAATTGCCGACCTAGAAAATGTACAGAGAACTTTCACGGCGCGCATAACGGAGATAAAACACCTCAATTACTGGGAGCGCTTGAGGTTCCTAAACCTGTATTCCCTGGAACGCAGGAGGGAGAGATACATGATTATATACACCTGGAAAATCCTAGAGGGACTAGTACCGAACTTGCACACGAAAATCACTCACTACGAAAGCAAAAGACTTGGCAGACGATGCACCATCCCCCCAATGAAAAGCAGGGGTGTCACTAGCACGTTAAGAGACCATACAATAAGTGTCAGGGGCCCGAGACTGTTCAACTGCCTCCCAGCACACATAAGGGGGATTACCAACAGACCCCTGGCAGTCTTCAAGCTGGCACTGGACAAGCACCTAAAGTCAGTTCCTGATCAGCCGGGCTGTGGCTCGTACGTTGGTTTGCGTGCAGCCAGCAGCAACAGCCTGGTTGATCAGGCGCTGATCCACCAGGAGGCCTGGTCACAGACCGGGCCGCGGGGGCGTTGACCCCCGGAACTCTCTCCAGGTAAACTCCAGGTAAACTGGGTTAAAGTTGCTTCCCAAATGTGTGCCCGTCCCTTGTGATATTGGCACTGATATCATCTATTGTGCTTGTATGAAGCATGTGGCTATGTATGCGCGCTGTGCTCCTGTACTATAGTCATCATTTTGATTACAGTAATGCAACATTCTTTGTGATGGTGCTGGTGCCCAGGTGAAGGAAACAACTGAGCTGTTGTAACAATTCAATGAGAGTGTTCCTTGATGAAGGAAGAGCTTCCCTTCTGTGGATCAAACAAGATTGCACCCACTTCCCATTCCCCAGGTACTATATGCCATGGGTTTAGACTTCTCAATGAGGTGGTTTAGTAATTTAGAGTGAATGGAACAAAATAGAAAGACTTGGAGAGCGTGTAAATCTGTAGGGGAAGGAAGACGCGTAAGGGTCGTCCTAGGAAAGGTTGGAGGGAGGGGGTAAAGGAGGTTTTGTGGGTGAGGGGCTTGGACTTACAACTAGTGTGCATGAGTGTGTTAGATAGAAGCAAATGAAGACAAATGGTTTTTGGGACATGGCAAGCTGTTGGAGTGTGAGCAGGGTAATATTTTGTGAAGGGATTCAGGGAAATCAGTTAGCCAGACTTAAGTCCTGGAAGTGGGAAGTACAATGCCTACACTTTAAAGGAGGGGTTTGGGATATTGGCTGTTTGGAGTGATATCTAAACTGTCATATTTGAGCAATTATGCAAAGACAGTGATTATGTATGAATGATGGTGAAAGTGTTGAATGATGATGAAAGTTTTTTCTCTCTTTTTGGTTCATCCTGCCTCAGTGGGAAATGGCTGACGTGTTAAATAAATAATAATAATAATCATGATGGAAGTCTTCAAGTTAAACTGCAGCTAATGCAGGGAAGCCATTGTATAAACATCTGCTTGATGGGAGTACGTATTGGGCAAACATGGTTACATCTTTCCAAGATAGTTGTCATATAGATCAGTATAGCTGCCCCTCGAGGAAAGTTCCTCAATACTGGTAAGGGGATCTTGATTTAACTAACTGGACCTGTGCTCCAGTTCCATGAACTGATTTTGAATGCTGTATGGCTTGTGGGTTTAGAGTTCCCTCCATGAATGTAATAAGTTTATCTGCATATGTGGTGTATAGTACAGCATTTAATTTTACAATTTTATTTAATTCTGCAGTATGGATTATTGCCACAAAGTGTATCATGAAGATTATCAGATATATCTTTACATACGTGCTATCAATCCAAGGAACTGAACCTATACTCCCTTCCTCAGATCGAATCGGTATACCCCATCCTTCAAAATCGGCCTAATTAGTGGGAATACATTCCTCCATTGTCCCATTTAGAGAGATGTCTTGATGGTGATGTGTGGCTCTTGATCCAAAGTTGACCTATCCTCTCCTTCCTTGGATCAAATCAGATTGCCTCCCACCTGCCACCCCGAGTGTCTTTCGGCAAGTGCCTTTGGCAGCCGGTAACTAACTAACGAAATTATCCAAGTATGACTCTTGACATTCATTGCAGTTCACCCGCTACCATTATAAGCATCTTTCACGGTCTCACTTTCCTCAGTAGAAGAGGATAGCCTAAACATGTAGGAGGAAATAGATAACCGTTTTACTTAATGCAAGGTAAATGTAAAAAGAGATAAAGCCATTGCTATGTTGGGTGTAGTTGTAGGTTAAAAATGAGTTTAGTGCTTAGTTTTGATAATAATTGTAGGTTAAAAACTGTATGAATTAGGACAGTTATAGTGGTTAAAAAAACTCGCAAGTGTAGGAGGTAAAAAATGCAGAAGCGAAGACTCGTACATAAGAAGATAAAATATTTGCAGTAGGGAAGGTGTGCATGTAGGAGTTTAGTTTAATATGTTTATTATGCACCCCATACCCATCCTGTGGGCGGTAGTTAAAAGATTACAGAGGTACATAATGGGTCCAGGGACTGGACCTCAAAGTTTTGATAGCTGAGCAAGTTACAGAGGTAATGAATTCACAATTTACAAAGGTAATGAACTCACAATTTACAAAGGTAATGAACGCCAGGTAGGTCTAGTCACAATCATGACAAGTTACAAAGGTATTTACAGATTACAGAGGTACACAATGGGTCCAGGGACCGGGCCCCAAAGTTTTGATGGCTGAACTAGGTACAAGGTAATGAGCTCACAAGTTACAAAGGTAATGAATACTGTAAGAATGGTTACTTACGTTTATACATTGCTACAATCATGAATAAATTTTAGAGTAATGAGCAATTCACACTTCCACACCCGGTCACAACTGTAGTGAGTTATTGGTGCAAATATTGATTGTTGAGTCACACACACACACACACACACACACACACCACACACACACACACACACATATATACAAATTCATACACACACACACATAAACACACACAATTGTGTATGTAGGAGAGAAGACAAGTGGGTGTAAGAAGACATACAAGTGTGTGAGGGGGAGGGAGAGAGGCCTGCCAGTATAAGACCTTCCCACACTGGAGAAGCTATCAGCGCAACAACAACGACTGCTGTCTGGTACGTTATACGCATACTGTATATAGTAAATCTAAATAATATAAACGAAAGAATTTCTGACCCGTATTTGGATATCTTAGACCTCAAAATGAAAATAATATTCTAATGAGAAAATATTCTTCGTGTTTTATAATTAGTTTATCATGCGTGCGGCCAGCACTAACAGCCTGGTTGATCAGGCCGTGATCCACCGTGAGGCCTGGTCACAGGAAGGGCCATGGGGGCATTGATTCCCGAAACCCTCTCCAGGTATGGGTCACCGTAGGAAAGATGAGAGGGAGAAGGAGGTAAAGGTTTTGATAGCTTAGACTGTCACCCACTGTACAATCCTAAATGTAGGTTAGTTGCAATTTTTATTCGTAGAAGTAATGTAGCCTAATCTAACATACAATGACCTGAATTTTATAGGCCAGGAGGTTTAGCACTTTATTTGATTATAATAATATGCGCCAGGTTATTGGTCAGGAATGTGCAGCAGCGTGGATCGTACAGAAACAGACAAACTGAAATGTATTAGAAAACGATGTTATGTGGACGAGTTGCCCAGACAGACAGATGATGGTGGTGGTGCAAGTGTTGTGACAATGGCAGGCAGGTGGTGACCTATCATGCAGCTGGGTGAAGGGTCGCGACAGGTGGGACAGCCATGCTGGAGTCACGTCCAGTGTCTCAGGTCACAGCAACACTCTCACTGCACAGCCCTCGTCTGCACCTGCGACAGGTAAGTCCTCCTCTTCCTCCTTACAAGTGTATTATATCATTAATAGCAGGAGATAGAATGGAAAGAATGAAACCTGTAAAGAATGAAATTGAGAGAAAAACAAATGTGGTGATGAAAAGAAGGAGAGCGAATCAGAAATTAGAGGAATACCGTCAATAAAGAGAGGAATAGTATTAATGAAAACTGGATGATGCGAACAATGAATTGAGAGTATAGCACAAGAGAGGAAATGGGATATTATTTAGTGGTATTTAGGTCATTCACTCTTCATTCTTACTTTATCTCTTCTGTCATTAAGACTCCTCAAATATGTGTTGGCTGTCTTCTGAATACCCTGTTCTCTAGGTACACCACTATTCTCCTGATTATCCTTTTCCATTATTTAAGACAATGCACATGTCAAGGTTACAAGTTTGTAGTTCAGTTCGTGTTTGTACCACTTGCTCGAATAGTTTTAAACACATTCCCTGTTTTCTATCTTCATAGTCATTGTCCTGTTATCAGTGACAGTTTTTTTTTTTTTTTTTGCTAGTGACTCACAGTGTGTATGCACTTACCTAGTTGTACATATGTAGCTGTGTTTTCAAAGGTCTATTTAAAATGTTTGATCCCCCTCTTAGTTCTTACTGACCTACTTTACTGATGATCCCTAGTCTCCAGAGCGTGAGCACACCTATTCTTGGAACTGTGTTCGCTTCCACCGCTTCTTCATCTAGGTTATTCGGCTTATTTACCACCATGAGGTTGAAAATGTACTCCCTAACGTTCCAGAGGATCTTACATCTTTAGCTGTCATCTGTCTCCCCTGGGCCCACTCTGTGTATTCCATACAGCCTATCCCCTCTTCATGATCACTACTCTCCTGATCCTCATCTTTTCATGTGATTTTAGATAAGGTTTGTTAATTCTTTCCTTGTAGTTTAATTCCTTCAGTTCTGGTATCAGTCATCTCGAATCTTCAATAAAGACCTCTTTGAGCTTTCTAATAAATTGTCCACACACTTCCCTGTTGTCCTTTGTCAGTTCACCCCCTCTGTTGAGCCTTATTACTTGGCACCTTATTGTCTTCTTTGTTTTATGTTGCTGTGCAACAGCTTAACCTCTGGTTTAACTAACACTGCACTTATTTTAATTGTATTTTTTCTTCTCTTCTTATCCTTGCATTATAATTCTTAGCTCTGCTGCCTATTCCAATCTTTTCTGCCATGCATCTTTGCTTGATGTCTGGGAAGGATGGTCTGGCAGAAATATGAGAGCCTTTTCACTCTGCAATCATGTGCGGAGGAGGGCTAGAGATTGTAAAATATAATATATACATGTTAGCACACATGCTGGATTGAGGCACTCATTGTGCTGTGACTGTCTACAGCGGTTTCCAGCAATATGGGGAGCGGTGTACCCGCAACTTGTTGGGTGAGTTTGACCTGCAATGTCTACTGTAGACCGCTAGCTAATGTATTGAATATTTTTGACGATTTCAACTGCCTGTTCTGTCACTGCTACTACTCCTTGCTTTCTCACAGCTGCTACTGCTACTATTTGTTTTGCCACTGTAGCAGCTGTCATGTATTGTATATGGGTAGCAGTTAATTTGTTGTACTTGGGTTTTCCGTGCTTATATTTTATTGAGATATCACATGTATTGTTGCAGGTTTACATTGTATCGTAACTGCACTATGTACCGGTTGTATTGTGGTAGGTTGTATAGTGTATGGTAATTGTATTATGTACGGGTTGTATTGTGATAGGTTGTATATTGAATAACTGTACTATGTACAGATTGCATTAGGATATGTTGTATACTGTATGGTAGATGTACTGTATATGGGTTGTATTGTGGTAGGGTGTGTATTATATAGCAGTTGTACTATTAAGGGGTTGTATCATGGTAGGTTGTGTATGGTAACTGGTGTGTATGGATTGCATTGTGGTACAATGTATAGTAATTGTACTATATATGGATTATAGTATAGTGAGTTGCATATTTTTATGATAGTTGTATTATGTATGGGTTGTGCTGTGGTACTTTTTTGTATGGTGGTTGCATTATATATGATAATTGTAATATGTATGGGTTATATTGCGGTGAGTTGTTGAGTGTATTGTTGTTGCACAATGTACGGGTTGTATTATGGCAGGTTGTACCAGGACTAGCAGACTGTATGTTGTACCAGGACTAGCAGACTGTATGTTGTACCAGGACTGTAACAGACTGTATGTTGTACCAGGACTAGCAGACTGTATGTTGTACCAGGACTGTAACAGACTATATTGTACCAGGACTGTAACAGACTGTATGTTGTACCAGGACTGTAACAGATTGTATGTTGTACCAGGACTGTAACAGATTGTATGTTGTGTTGTGCCAGAACTGTAACAAACTTAACGTTGTGTTGCACCAGGGCTACAGCAGTGGGAGATGTTGCTGATCGCCTTGTTCGTCACCCTGCTCTTCCTCGCTGTCTTCCTGGGCTGCATCTACTTCCTTGTATCCAGACTTGCTAGGTAGGTACTACTCTTTAATTATATTACTTATAATGAATTAATCATATTTATTTCTAACATACGTATATTTATTTGTTCCTATTTGAGCACAGGAGTTATAGTACAGAGCTTGCCGTTAAGGTACGCAATTTCCTTCTTGCAGGCGGTACCGTCAGACCCTTCCCGCGGGAGAGCTAGTCCCCGGTAGTTTCCAAGACAGCTCCCCCAGCAGCAAGCGAGGTAGCATCGAGGACACCAGCATCAAGAGTATCCGGATTGCGGAGACTCAGCTGGTGACTGGGGCCATGGAGAGCAAGATGGTGGAGCAGATGGCGCTGACAGGTCAGCTGGAGGGCAGAGAGTTGGTGCTTGATGCAGAGAGGCTGTGGCCTGCCTCGCCTACGCTGCCTGCCACACAATTTATTCTTCCCCTCCAGTACCAACACAACACCATTGGTAACAGCAACAGACCATGTGGATGTTTGTATACACACCAGATCTATTTGTCTTAGAATGAGTTTCCATTCCTCTGGTGGTTCCACAGGATGGGTATGGAGTGCATAAAGATACTAAACTAACTTCCCAAGTTAGCCTCTATACAAAAAAAGTATAATTCGAGGCCTATAGTGTGTGTGTGTGTGTGTGTGTGTGTGTGTGTGTGTGTGTGTGTGTGTGTGTGTGTGTGTGTGTGTGTGTGTGTGTGTACTCACCTAGTTAAGGTTGCAGGGGTCGAGTACGAGCTCCTGGCCCCGCCTCTTCACTGATCGCTACTAGGTCACTCTCCCTGAACCGTGAGCTTTATAATACCTCTGCTTAAAGCTATGTATGGATCCTGCCTCCACTACATCGCTTCCCAAACTATTCCACTTACTGACTACTCTGTGGCTGAAGAAATACTTCCTAACATCCCTGTGATTCATCTGTGTCTTCAACTTCCAACTGTGTCCCCTTGTTACTGTGTCCAATCTCTGGAACATCCTGTCTTTGTCCACCTTGTCAATTCCTCTCAGTATTTTGTATGTCGTTATCATGTCCTCCCTATCTCTCCTGTCCTCCAGCGTCGTCAGGTTGATTTCCCTTAACCTCTTCTCGTAGGACATACGTCATAGCTCTGGGACTAGTCTTGTTGCAAACCTTTGCACTTTCTCTAGTTTCTTTACGTGCTTGGCTAGGTGTGGGTTCCAAACTGGTGCCGCATGCTCCAATATGGGCCTAACGTACACGGTGTACAGGGTCCTGAACGATTCCTTATGTGTGTGTGTGTGTGTGTGTGTGTGCGCGGTTTGGAAGTTCGTATCAGTTGAGTATTCTCGCAAATGACAAGGTTTGCGTCTGTGTGTAGAGGAAGGTTTAAGTAATATACACACTACAAAGAGGAATGGCAGCTATATTTTGGAGATAACAAGAGCTTCATTTTGATTATAATAATAATAATGGAGATAACAAGAGCTTCCAGATTATTGTATAGAATAGGTATAGTCAGTATTTACACTACATATCCAAGTATATCATACGATGCAGCCAAGTAATAGTGCTGTCACATTCCAGAAAATGCAATACTACATACATATGCTTGAGGGGTACTCCTGGTAACGTCACCTCAGATTACACATGCCTAATATAGTTCCTGAATCATTCAGGACCTCCAAAATTCTGCCCTTTATCTCAAGAAGGGACAAAATGACTAGCGCAGCCAGGATTTCAATCTGGAGTGGGGTGGGGAAAACATCAAAGAAATCATTTAAAAAAATGTGAATTTCAGAATATATGTGAAATATCTTAAGCTATTGTGGTCACTGGTCAATATAACAGTAAAATTAGCCAATAATTGAAAAAATGTCTTTGTATCCGGGGGGCTTAGGCCTCTCTGTGGCTACGCCACTAGACACACATGACCTTACCTGGACGGTGTTCCGGGGGTCAACGCCATGACTGACATTAGTTTCCCTACACAACCTCTCCGCCCAGTCGCATTCTCCTCGTATAACTGTTTACCATGTCTTGTCAACTGTCAGTAACCTACGCAACAATATTTCCATTGCCATCTTCAACAATTATTTACTGATCGTATTTGTATTCGACAGTTTACTTGACCAAGGGCATTGTCCCATATGGGTACACCAGGGCCGGGTTAGGAGTAGGCTAGCCAGGCAGCTACCCAAAAATATTAAAGCCAAAAAAATAAATAAATAAAATACACTCCCCCCAAAAATTATGTGTAGCAAGTTATAATGTTACTTATAGTAAATCAGTTGTATCTGCCACCACTGTGGAAGTTTTAAACAAATATTTTAAATGATATTGGTACTGGTCTGTCAGGGCGCCTAAACATAAGCCTGACCAAGGCACCCAAATTTGTCTGCCCTGTACTGCAGGGCAGTTAAGGTCATACTGTGGAAGGTGAGTCTATGATGGGAGGGAGAAATACAACCAGAACATACACACATACTATACCATTAATTCTCACAGCCATTACACCCTTCGAAGGGAAGAAAGTACTTTATTGCTGTTGAAGGGCTTTTGATCCAAGGAATTGGATCACACTTGATTAACTTTCTAAGCACCGTATGACCCTGAGGGTTCATACAACTTTTACGAAGATTTACTATAATTTAATAAATAACAATAAGAAAGTATAATTTCAAGTAATAATTAAGAAACAATATTCTTTATATGACCTATATTTGGAGTTAATCTGGCTGTGCTTCACATAAGAAGGTGATGGAATTAGAAAACAAGCTCAACGTCTTTAATCATGGCTAATTAATGTGTGGTAAGTCATAATCTGGCCTTCAGAGTGACAGTGGGAAATCCATGAAAGAAAGCATGTTACTTTACATAGATGACTGATTGTATTTTTAGATTTTCAGACAATGAAAATGGGAAGTAGCCTTGGCTCTGCGGCGGACACGTCGAGCCTGTCTGGTCAGAGCAGCAGTGGTGGGTCACGGTCATCACGGGGGTGGCAGTCTATCTCCACTGAGCAGGAGCTTGATAATTATATCCCCAGTTGGCGATATTATCGCGTACCAACTGCCTCCAGGTGAATATCAATGCCTCTTCTTCAGTTTGTTGATAGTGGAGTTCATTACATTTGTAAATTGTGAGTTCATTACCTTTGTAAATTGTGAGTTCATTACCTTTGTAAATTGTGAATTCATTACCTCTGTAACTTGCTCAGCTATCAAAACTTTGGAGTCCAGTCCCTGGACCAATTATGTACCTCTAATCTTTTGACTACCGCCCACAGGATGGGTATGGGGTGCATAATAAACATATTAAACTAACTGTTGATACAGGTAAACTCCAGGGAAGCCCTCCTGATGAATTCTCTTGATATTTCGAGATTGCTATTATTATTATTATTATTATTATTATTATTATTATTATTATTATTATTATTATTATTATTATTATTATTATTATTTATCCTTGAAGGCATGAATGAACTTTACGGTCATGTTTTTTTTTTCCGCTATGTTACGTATGTGCCATACTTAAGAATATCTTTTAACGATTTAGATTTTTAGATTTTGCCACCGAAGTGGCTAGTTTATTGTGCACCCCATATCCATCCTGTGGACGGTAGCGCGAGAGCATATGGATACACAAAAGGCCTAGGAACTAGGCCCCAAAGGGTTAAACAGGAATACATATGGATTTATATCTACATATCTATAGTTCACTTATCTGTTACAAGCAAATTTAGGAAATTTGCTTAGTATATCTGGTATCTTATTTTCATTAATAAGATATCTTGACATGTCACATAGGTTATTATACTGTCTGTCTCTGTATTCCTCAATAAGTGGACAATTAAGCACATAGTGTTCAGTGACCATATGCCTGATCACATAATTTACATTTAGTTTGATCATCATCTGTGTTCTCTCCCAAACTGCCAGAAGTACTTGTAACAAGCCTAAGCCTGGCCACTACAACATCAGTCAGTCTGTTCACATTGCAAGTTGCTCCATAAACATACTTATCTACGTTCATGTTATCATAGTGGGTTATAGATCTACTCAGGCTTCTAACTGCATTCCTAAAACAATCATTTTCATTATTTACTTCTCTCCTAATATTATTCCTAATGCTAGACACAGTTATACCAAAGTTATATTCTACATTCTCCTTCTGGGTACTCTTCTTGGCTAACATATCAACTTTATCATGAAGGAGTAATCCAATGTGTGATGGGATCCATAGCAATTGTACATTAATTCCTTTGTCCCTAATTTTTGAGTATCTATACCTGGCTTCCCCAATGAGCATGTTGTTGGAGTCATTACATGAGTCAAGAGCCTTCAATGATGACATAGAATCAGTAATGATGATAGACAAGCTCAGTGTCATAGGTTAGCTTTAGCGCCACTAGGATTGCAAACAATTCAGTTTGCAGTGTAGACGCCCAGTTGTTAATTCTTATGCCTAACTCAACAAATTTATTATGGTTCTTAACTAGGGAGTTGGCAACAAGAGCAGATGCAGCCCTGCCAGAAGACTCCTGTTTAGATCCATCAGTGTATATAACTTGTGATAACTTATTACTACCGGCTAGGTGAGAAATTTCTTCTTGAGCAGTTGCTCTAACAAGAGATTTAAGGAAGGGATTACTAGCAATGAGCTTCTTGGGAGGGACTTGTAGGTATGTGATATTAAATGAACACATCTTCCATGGAGGGGTGAAATGCTCTTGTTGCCTACAGTGATACAGTTCATGCAAGTTATAAAACTTAATGCAATTGCACGTTTTCACAATCCATTTAGATCTGTGTATTTACCTCTAGACACTTGGTAAGATTCACTGTGACAGTGTCTTGTTCGTTTCTCAACATTCTAATACCGAGTACAGTGTTAATTTCAACAATCCTATCACTGATACTAGAAATACCAAGCTTAAAACTTTCAATAATTGTATATCTTTACAAAAGTTTTGCAACGAAAATGGCGAGTCAACTGAGAGCTGTTATGTATTTATTGCTGTCATAGCAGTATCACCCTCACCATTCTCACCTGAGATGGCGCAAGCAAACCATGTCACCTACACACAGTTGCTTAAGTAACAAACTCCATACGTCACAAAAGAACTCATTAATGACGCCAGAGGCGTCGCTAGAGTTGGTGTCACCCGGGGCGGAATCTCTGGTGTCACCCGGGGCGAAATCTCTGGTGTCACCTGGGGCAGCATCTTTGGTGTCACCCGCATGAAATTCAAGGGCGAGGGAATGGGGGGAGTAAACTCCAGTTACGTCACTACTTGATGACCAGTGACTAATGTTTAACAATAGGAACGTTTAAGGGCCATAAACTAAACAGGAGAATACTTCTCAACTTTATTAATGATAAAATAAATAATCGTAGTAATATTGAGGAAACATAAACTCAAATATCACTTTGAGTACAGGCAACAGATCCTACATTTATTCACCTTCAACAATGCAAAAAACAAAAAAAAAAACTTGAAAAATAAAGAAAAACATTGTAATATCAGAGAAACGCTAGTTCCGATTTGATCTTGAGTACAGGTAACATCTCAGTGAATCTGATCTTACATTTGACCTTGAGTACAGGTAACATCTCAGTGAATCTGATCTTACATTTGACCTTGAGTACAGGTAACATCTCAGTGAATCTGATCTTACATTTGACCTTGAGTACAGGTAACATCTCAGTGAATCTGATCTTACATTTGACCTTGAGTACAGGTAACATCTCAGTGAATCTGATCTTACATTTGACCTTGAGTACAGGTAACATCTCAGTGAATCTGATCTTACATTTGACCTTGAGTACAGGTAACATCTCAGTGAATCTGATCTTACATTTGACCTTGAGTACAGTAACATCTCAGTGAATCTGATCTTACATTTGACCTTGAGTACAGGTAACATCTCAGTGAATCTGATCTTACATTTGACCTTGAGTACAGGTAGCATCTCAGTGAATCTGATCTTACATTTTCTTACCTTCATTATGCAAAATCATCTATCACATCAAAATCAATGATTTTCCCTACATAGACTTATTTGTACTTTGTTATTATATAATAGGCTATATAGAAACGAAGGATTCTTCTCTTACGTTGGTGCAACACTGTTTTGTGCATTAGTGTCACCTTTAGAGACTGGTGTCACCCATTAAATGGTGTCACCCATTAAATGGTGTCACCCGGGGCGGCCCCCCCGCCCCCCCTTACGAGGTCCCTGAATGACGCATATTATCTGTCCGGTACTTCCTGTATAGAGATAGTGTAACTTGTATCTCTGAGAGAATGAGAAGTTTTCAATTTTATCTTGAAGTCTGTCTTTAAAATAACCTAGAGACTGTTGCATTGCGTTCCATACACTTATACTCGTATATCATATATCCTTCTTTAACCAGTCTAACAATTTAGTAATTTTAGTAATTTAAGCATACAAACAGAGGTACAAAAAATACAGGTAAGAGCAGCATGCCAAAGCCACTTATATGCATAGCATTACGGGCTGGCTTAAAATTAACTTAAGATTAACTAAGCAATGATGAAATCAGTGATAAAACATTATTGTAAACAGATAACTATAAAGCACAAATGAGTATTACAAAGACAGGTCATATGGTTGCTTGCATTGCTGTACATTCAGTCGAATGGAGTATTCTGTTAGGTAGTGTATTTAAAAAAATAATAGTTAGATTGGGTCCTAGGTTTAACATTTGTGTGATATAATTGTGAGTAACATATAGGATATACAATTTATAAGGTTCAGTTATTCAGTATTTATTTGATTTTGAGTGAGTAAGTGATCTTTGAGAAGAGACTTGAATTTATAAACAGGTAGTGTTTCTTTTATATTTACAGGTAATGAATTCCAGATTTTAGGGCCTTTTATGTGCATTGAGTTTTTGCATAGCGTGAGATGGACACGAGGAACATCAAAGAGTGATCTGTGCCTTGTGTTATGGTCATGTGTTCTGTTGAGGTTGGCAAGGAGATGTTTGAGGGGAGGGTTAATATCAGAGTTAAGTGTTCTATGTATGTAATAGGTGCAATAATAAGTATGGATGTTTTGTATGGTGAGTAGGTTGAGTGTTTTGAATATTGGTGGAGTGTGTTGCCTGTAGTGAGAATTTATCATTCTAACTGCAGCCTTTTGTTGGGTAATTAGTGGTCTGAGATGGTTAATTGTTGTTGAGCCCCATGCACAAATTCCATAGGTGAGATAGGGGTAAATAAGAGAGTGATATAGGGCCAGGAGGGCTGACTGTGGAACATAGTACCGTATCTTCGATAGTATGCCTACAGTCTTGGAGATTTTCTTAGAAATTTGTTGTAAATGTGTATGAAATTTGAGTCTATTATCGAGGTGGATTCCTAGGAATTTTCCCTCTGTTAGCTTTGTGATAGGTGATACGTTTATTGTTATGTTAAGAGGTACATCTGTAGCTCTGTTACCAAATTAAGTTATATCTGATTTTAATATTATATTCTTAAAGCTAAATATATTACATTATATGAAAAAAATCAGTATATTGATAGTAGTTTTTTCCATCATGTTAATTTTCATATACGTTTTCCAGCATCAATTTGCAATCGTTCTCTGTAAGCTTACAACTGGTATTTAATTTTGTTGGTTTAGGTAAATGTGTTGGGTTGCTAACGATATATATATATATATATATTTTTATATATATAAAATAAAATATCTATATACATATATATATATATATATATTTTTTTTTTTTATTATTATTATCACACCGGCCGATTCCCACCAAGGCAGGGTGGCCCGAAAAAGAAAAACTTTCACCATCATTCACTCCATCACTGTCTTGCCAGAAGGGTGCTTTACACTACAGTTTTTAAACTGCAACATTAACACCCCTCCTTCAGAGTGCAGGCACTGTACTTCCCATCTCCAGGACTCAAGTCCGGCCTGCCGGTTTCCCTGAATCCCTTCATAAATGTTACTTTGCTCACACTCCAACAGCACGTCAAGTATTAAAAACCATTTGTCTCCATTCACTCCTATCAAACACGCTCACGCATGCCTGCTGGAAGTCCAAGCCCCTCGCACACAAAACCTCCTTTACCCCCTCCCTCCAACCCTTCCTAGGCCGACCCCTACCCCGCCTTCCTTCCACTACAGACTGATATATATATATATATATATATATATATATATATATATATATATATATTATATATATAATATATATTATATAATATATATATATATATATATATATATATATATATATATATATATATATATATATATATATATATATATATATATAATGTGTGTTTCCTCTACAGAAGCGCAGGCAGAGTGTATCGTCCACTGCTGCTCAAGACTTCTACTTTCTCTGAGAGTGATGAATCTCCATGACTGATGAACTTATGCGACACATCATTACTTCCATGCATGGATGTCATTCTTAATACAGTTTAATTTGGAACAATGAACTGAAAAGAAAAAAAAATCACGAAAACATCAGTGTTTATGATATTTTCGTTACATTAATATAAAGTTAAATCTACAAGGATCCCAATGAAAATAAGTAACTTTGACTTTTTTTAATTATCCTAGGTAATTTACACCCGTTACTAGGTATGATAATTGTACTTATGTGTACTTGTACCCAAATAAACTTGCTATCATAGATTGTTGCGTAGGTGGCAGACTTGTCGGCTGGCTAGCGCGCAGTGTTACTAGCTTGGCTGAGTCAGGGCATCTGATTGGCTACTGGGGAACCAAGTAATCTTATTGGCTGCTGGGGAACCAAGTCATCTTATTGGCTACAGGGGAACCAAAGCATTTTATTGACTGCTGGGGAATCAAGGTATCTGATTGGCTGTTGGGGAGCCCGGTCGTATGTGGCTGCAATCCGGTATACACGGAGGGTGTTACAGGGGACAACGCCCCCGCGGCCCGGTCCATGACCAGGCCTCGCGGTGGATCAGGGCCTGATCTACCAGGCTGCTAATGCTGGCCACACACAGACCGACATACGAGCCGCAGTCCGGCTGGTCAGGAACTCACTTTAAGTGCCTGTCCAGCCCCTCTTGAAGACAGACAGGGGTGTATTGGTAATCCCCCATTTGTATGCTGAGAGGCAGTTGAACAATCTTGGGCCCCTAACACTTATTGTGCCGTCTCAGCCTACTAATGGCGCCCCTGCTTTTCATGGGGGGGGATGTTGCACCACCTGCCGAGTCTTTTGCTTTCGTAGGGAGTTACATATTTCCGTATGCAGATTTGGGATTAGTCTCTAGGGTTTTCCAAGTGTATATTATCATTATCTTTCTCGCCTGTGTTCCAAGGAGTACAGGCAAGGGACTTCAGTCGTTCACAGTAATTCAGGTACTTTATTGTACCTATACGTGCAGTGAAAGTTAGGTTAAAGATAAGTTTCTAGGGCAGAAGTTTCATGAAGACATCATCACCTGCATACATGAAGACAGAGAAATGCCTTTAGGGGCTCCAGGTAAACTCCAGGATGCCCGTAATTGCGTCGTCTTAGGATTCACTACCATGTACTGACTTCGTTTTCCTTTTAAATGATCATGTATAGGAGTGAAGCTGATTCATTACCTCTGTAACTTGCCATGATTGTGACCAGATCTACCTGGAGTTCATTACCTTTGTAACTAGTTCAGCTATCATAACTTTGGGTCCAGTCACGGCCCCTTTATGTCCCTTTGAAATTTTTTTGACTACCCCCCACGGGATGATATGGGGTGCAAATATGATTTAAAATGGTGTGTGTGTGTGTGGTGTGGTTGGTGTGTGTGTGACTCAACAATAAAATTTTGCCCAATAACTAATTACTTTGTCCCCGGGTGTGGAAGTGTGATTGCTCTTACTCTAAAATTTGTTCTGTTGTACCCATTAAAAAGTAAAAACCATTTACAAAATTCATTACTTTGTAACTTGTGGCTCATTCCCTTTGTACCAGTTCAGCTATAAAAAACTTTGGGGGCCCAGTCCCTGGACCCATTACGTACCTCTGTAATTGTAAATACCTTTGTAATTTTCCCCCTGTTTTGTGACCAGCCCTCCCTGGATTTTTCTTTTAATTTGTAAATTTTGAGTTCATTACATTTGTAAATTTTGTGAGTTCATTACCTTTGTAAATTGTGGTTCATCCCCTCGTAACTTGCCAGCTATCAAAACTTTGGAGTCCAGCCCGGAAACCAATATTCCCTCTGTAATCTTTTGACTCCGCCCAAGGATGGGGGGGGGTGCATAATAAAACTATTAAACTAACTAATAACTGTTGCACTCTTAAAACAGTCTGAAAATTGGCAAATTGAGGTGCCTTGCCCAACATATCTATGGAGGTGTCGTTGTCGTCCCGGGGCTTCAACATTATTTTTCTGACTGTGAGTTTCCATTGAAAACAGAAAGCGTCTGATTTTTTCCCCAAGGCTAACCCTCAGAATTGGTAATCATCCCCCCCTGGAGTTCCCTGGTTTTCCGGGAGAGTTTTCCCGGAGGTCAACGCCCCCCGGGGCCCCGGTCTGTCCGGGCCCCCGGGTGGGATCAACCCTGTCAACCAGGCTGTTACTTTTGGTGCACGCAAACCAACGTAAGAGCCCACCCCGGTGGTCAGGAACCGATTTTAGTGCTTTCCAGTGCCAGCTTGAAGACTCCCGGGGGAAATTTTGGGTAATCCCCTTACGTATGGGGGGCAGTTGCCCAGTCTGGGGCCCCTGACACTTATTGTATGGTCTTTTAACGTTATGACACCCCTGTTTTTTCTTTGGGGGGTGTTGCATCGTCGCCAAGTTTTTTGCTTTCTAGTGATGATTTTCGTGTGCAAGTTGGGTACTAGTCCCTCTGGTTTTCCGGTGTTAAAATCTGTATCTTCCCGCCTGCGTTCCGGGGAAATTAAAGGTTCAGGAACCTCAAGCGCCCCAGTAACTGGGGTGTTTTTTCCGTTATGCGCGCGTGAAGGTTCCTTACATTTTCTAGGTCGCAATTCCCCTCTTAAAAAGTTTGCTGTTAGTGTGCAGCTATCCCGCTAGTAGAAAAGTGATGGGGGGGATTTTTAAAACAAAAAGTCTTAAAATTTTTCCCCTGATCAACATGATGACTTTGTTGCACAGTGAGATGGTATAACCCTAGAGGTCCCTCTGTCGAGATTTTAACAATGCCCTTGGACGTATTAAACTTTTTTGAGCCGCCTCTGAAACCCCTACTATCAAATCCAATGATTTCCTAATATTTTAAGCTTATAAAAATCTTTCCTTTAAAATGTTCTAAATTTTCGAACTTGAAACGTATGCTCGAGACTAGGTAGCCTATAGAACCATCGCCCCTGAAATGTGACCTCTTCAAATGCCCTTGCTGCTGCCGAGGGGTTTGACAACCCCCAAAACAGATGGGCAATTTGTAAATGGTCTCAATGTCACACCCCATTGCCGGGATGGGGGACATAAATAAAATTAAGGGTAAAAAAAGGGGCGGATCGCGCACCCTCATCTTTCATAAGGCGAATGAGTTAGTCGGTGCGGGGCTGCTACATCTAGAAGCAATTTTCCCGTCCCACACAGGCAAAATTAAAATGAAAATATGAGAAAGGGGAGGATTTGTTTGCTTTATGTCAGAAAAGGCAGATGACGCAACACCCTTTCAAATTATGAACTTGATCAGCACTAACTCGGAACTCCACGTCCCCGGGTGGGGAGGGTATTACTTACAACATATCATTTTGCTGTGTCGGTCCCGGGAACCCCTTTACTTAAATTATATAAATGAGTTATGTCATGGGGGCCCCCTAAATCATGGCCCCAATACCCTCATTTTCCATTCCGAAGCCCAAATCAACAAAACTCATTTCGCCCCAATATCCCTTTACTATCTGCTTGTGAAAAACATTCGAAAGGATGATTCTTAATCGTTTTTGCACGAATTAAGAGTTCTTTCTCCCCGGTTTTCATGGCTTCATGATGGAAGGAGTGTGCATTTGCATTACCACCTTTCTCCTCGACACTGACAGCTATACACTACCTTCCTTTTACTTAAATCCGCTTTTGATGTAGCCACCGAATGTAATCATTAGTGAACTTGCCAGAATGGATGTTTTGGGGGATGCTTCTCCCCTGGATTTAAAGGTTTACTGTCCAACAGAAAGTGTTGTGTTGTTCCAAGGAATAGAAGGTAATTAAAGTTTGATTTTGGAAACCCCAGGGGGTGGTTAGTCCCACCCTTTTCAACATTTTTATTTAAAGCCTTACTTAAGCCATGCCTAGCCGCCCCTCATTTTTTGGTTTGTTTTTCTGGACTAAAGATTCACACCCCGGATTCTCCAACACCCAAAAAAATTCTTTTTCTGTATACCTCGTGTCGATTGGGGTTAATAATCTCAGGGAAAAAAAAGATACTCAACAGGCGCCCCCCTCGACAGAGAGGGACAGTTCGTTGATCCAGTTGCATGATGGGTCTTTCTAGAAAATGTAAGCGATACAGGTATCTAGGCTTTGAGGTTTCACTATTGGGGCCGTTGTAAAAGAGACTTTTTCGCCAAACAAAGAAAGCTAGAGCACTTGAGTTGTGGCAGGGGTTCACCCCCCGGTATGGTGCTAATGTTAAAATTGTGAAAAAAATTTTATCTTGCTTATATTTGTCATGGTTGATTTGCGGCGCACTACTTGCACTCGGTTGACTGGAAGTTGAAGGGCTGGAAAAACACAAAACGAAGCAATGGGTCATCCTAGGGTCCCCGTACTGCCAAAAATTTTAAATATGCGTAAAGAACTTAAATTCCAAACATTAGGATTGTTACGAAAGAAATTCTTATTGAGGTAATATATTAGGCTAGCCTTTCAAACCCCCGCAAGAACCTCCAAAAAATTTCCTCACATGGGAAAAATCTTCCAGTGGATCGAAAAAAAAAGGGAACGACCCCGCATAACCGCTCATGATTATACAATTAGACAACGAGCATTTCCCTGCTCCAGGGGTTTCCCCCATTCCAAAAATACCCTTCCCCCATTTTCCCCCTAAAACTCTCCTTAAATCCAACCAAAACTTCGTTTGAAGCAAACATATGTTAAGCTGTATTGAAAACTTATCACACAAAAAATCTTTTTACAAATTTTTTACGTTGGAGGTTTGTTCACCAAAAACCCCGGTCAGTGGTAGTGGCTGTTTCACAAGAGGATGGCTTCAAAAGAAATTAAGCACGCATAATAAATGGGCCTCACCCTTCAAACAAACTGTTTTGCCCTTTTCCCTTTCACTCAAAAGTTCCCTGTACTAAGGTTGGGCACTTTAAATTTTAAAAATCTCGTCATCCCTAAATGCTCTAATCATTAAGTATAAATTGTGGCATGCTTTGTGAAAGCCAGACATAGGTATGGAAGATGTGGACAGTGGAGTCAGAGTGCACATGCTTGGATTCCATCTCACTTGGTCTTCAGATCTGATGGAACTGATAAATTTGGGTAAGTGCATGCTTTTAAAAAGGGGGGGAATTCAATCTTGGGTTGTCAGTTCAGTTTTAGACAAAAAACGAAAAGAAAAATTTTTGCTTAAACTTAGGGGGATTGACACAAGTCAGT